TTAGAATGAATGCATGTTGTTTTTGTGGTTTTTAAACTGTTTTTTTGTCTTATTCTTTTCTTTCTCTTTTTTTTCCCTTTGTAAGCCGCCCGGAGTCCTTCGGGATTGGGCGGCATATAAATTTGAATAATAAATAAATAAATAAATAAAATAAAATGTTGAAGTGATTCATACACAAGCAAGCTTAAATTGGCTTAAAAACAAACCTGAAAAGAAGCCAGGTTATGTTTAATAAATTCACCAAAGAAATTTTTTTTTTAATATCTGGAGAACAACTAAATGTAGTAGACCACTACACCAACAGATCTCAATGGAAGGTGATACAAAAAAAGGAAATTGAATGGTGTGTTAAATGTGGTTGGCAGGCTGCAAGTTAAACATAATTTTCAAGAACAATCTCTCCCTGTGCCTGAAGAGAAAGGTTTTCAATCAGTGTGTGTTCTAACATAGGCCAATGAAACATGGATGCTAATCTCACAATCAATACAAGAGCTATGAGTGATAGCCTTATTCACATTTTTTCTTTCACAAAGAAAAATAAAGTATACCTGTATCTGAAAGCCTAAGAGAGTCTGTTTCACAGGTAAAAAAACTCTGATGATCCTGAGCAGATAAGTTCATATCATAATATGTTAGCGGCTCCTTTCCTGTCACCCATGTATATCTTCAAGAGGAAAAACAATGAGCATCATTAATTCCATAATTCTATGTATATTTATTCAGAACTAGTTTCTTCTAAATGAAACTACTGTTATTTTTTTTTCTTTATTGCCTTTCAGTCAATTCTGAGCCTAGACAACTGCGTGGAATAATCCATATAGTTTTCTTAACAACATTTTCAGTTTATTATTTATTTAATTTATTTATTTGCAAGGTTGTCTTCTTAGGGCTTAGAATGTGAATGACCCAATAACACCCCAATGGCTTTGTGTCTAAGGACTCTCAGTCTCCCACTTTTTACCAGTGCCATTAACCACTCAAGCATATATTATATTTCAGCCTTAAGGAATACTAACACAAGAATCAGAAATGTAAGAAGTATATTTAACTTGTTAATAGCTTGTTCTTTCTTTCTGTGCATCATGACCTAGACTGAATAAATAGTAGCCTAAGAAAGAAAAGGAAGACTTATGATAAGTCTTTATCATACATTTCCAAACTGGCTAGGATTTCAGAATAGAAGTACACTGAAATTCATGATAACAATTACTTTTAATAATATTCTGTAAATAATAAATTCATGGTATTCAGTCAAACAATTTTCACAAAAAATGAAGAAAATGATTATATGTATATGTTACCTGTGCAAACATTAATCTGCCATATCTTTGGGTATTTTAGGCTAAGATATAATTTTGAACTGGTGGCTTTCTTTTTACTGTTTTAAACAAATAGGTATAAAAGAAATACAATCATTGGGTACCTGTTATATTCTGCTCCTCTAAAGAGATTGAGTGGATTTCTCCATACTTTGCACTCTGTTTTAAAAAAAGATAATTTAGTCTTAAAATTAATCTAGAACTACCCTTATTTAATAAAGCTATCTTTCTGAAACCTGAAAGTGGGAGATCACTAAATCTAAACTACGTTCAAGTATAAAAAAATAAGAGCAGAACTTTTACTTCAAATTGGAGTGCCTTTGAGTCAATCTTGAGACCTGGCCACTGCCTGGATAAAGTCCATGTAGTTTTTCTTGGCAATATTTTTGAACTGATTTGCCATTGCCTTCTTCCTAAGGTTGAGAATGATTAGCCCAGTCATCCATTCATGCCTAGAATTTAGTTTCCCAGTTTCTAGCCTGGTCCCTTTAATCGCTATACCCAAAGTGGCTTTTATATTTCAAATTAGCGTAAGCCTAAAATTGAGATGAGCTTCTCACATGGATCTAACAGTTTACAGTTAAACTACATGTCATGCAGAATTGGAATGAATGCTAGACAGAAGATTGGCAAAAATAAAGAAACGAGCAGGTCTGTCCTATTTCTGATTCTTCAAATTTTACTTTGAATGATTATCCATTCCTTTAAGAAAGATTTTCAGTGCAGAATACATGCAAAAACAAAAAGTGACAAATAGAGGCTCTTGAATCACAAATCATAGTTTGGCAATTAACAGATTTTTCAGGATTCCAAATACTAACTGTCCAATCAAAAACTTAAATCAATATCTTTTCTTTTGTCTGTCTGTCTGTCTGTCTGTCTGTCTGTCTACCTACCTACCTACCTACCTACCTACCTACCTACCTACCTA